TGTTATTATCGCGACAGGCCTATTTGTGTTGTGCAATGTTTGCACGTGAATAAAAACCTAATTCTATAAAGCGATTGTGTCTCTTCTTCAGAAGACTTGGATTAAACCTCCATTCATAAGGGTTATTTTTACAATACGTTTATGAACTTTAGGCTTCAAAGTTTCAGTGAAATGGACTTTTATTGGAGGGACGGAAATATCTCAGGTTTCATTAAAAATATCTTTATTTGTATTTCTAAGATGAATATGGGTTTGGCAAAACATAAGGGTGAGTAATTCATATATTTATTTATTAGGGGCTGTATCTTACATTTTTGGAGCATTTAATTGTTTTTCCATGTTTGTCAAGGTTTCTGGACATTGCTCGCTGCTTTTTTTTTCTTTTTTTTTAGCTGTGTTATGGACAGTTCTGTGTTGTTTTATCAGGTGGTGGTTCTCACCACTAAGAGCGTTCCAGTGGTGGTGAAAAGGAGTGCCAGAGAGGTATCCTTCATTATCAACAACGCTGATCGCCGGCAAATGCGGCGCAGCTCACTGGTACGGTGGGACCCCAGCCTTGAGGATGTCCAAGAAGATTCTGACACTGAGGAGGATGAAGAGGAAAGTGAAATGGAGGACACCATTCTGGATGCTGAGGAAGAGGGGAAAGAGACTGTGCTGCTTGATAAGGAGGTTTATGAGGTGAGATCTGGCACCTTGCACCATAAGTCACATGGTCATTTTAGTTTTTGTTCTAAATCAGCCATAACTTTAAGTGCACACAAGACCTATTTTAACTGTTTTATTTGTTTTTCATCCACTTAGGACACAAAAATATTGATGGATGTATTCACACTTTTAAATTGTTGCTGCATGTTTTTATGTTTGCATAACACTGAGATTTCTGCATCAATATGGCTGTTTTGTGTTTGTATGTAAAGGCCCAACTGCAGTTTATAGAGGAGATTCAGCAGCAGCTGAGTAAGGACAAAGCTGAACACTTAGCTCTCGAGGCACGTGTTCGAGATGAAGTTACAAAAGAATACTCTGAGCTGATTTCCCAGATGCAGGAAGATTACAGGTCAGAGATCACAGGCCCCTGTGCTCAATTATGTGTAATTAAAACAAATTACAGGTCATGCTATATGATGACCAAGAACGCTTTCCATTTTTTTTGTTTTTAGCAAGCGCATATCCAGAGAGAGGGAACTGATTGAGGAACGGTGTGAACGGAGACTGGAGATTCTCAAAAACCTGGTGGGAAAAACAGCTGTGAAGGACGACAGCATGAATTCAGCTGCTACCAAATCAGAGGTACAGATATGCTGAGTAGATATTCAGGGTTGTATAAATATATATATATTTTTTTTTTTTTTTTTGAAAGGTGATCATATGTTAATTTTGATTATTTCATTTTGTTAATGCCCAATTGTAGCAGTGAATTTGTTTGTGTGTGTGTGTAGGAAGAGAACCATGTCTCTCTAGACAGCATGCTTGACTCTATGACCAGTGACCTGGCTGGAATCAGACAGGATGCCCAGGCTGCCCAGTCCTGCTTGGTGACCTCCAACCCTAGAGTCTCTGTGACACTGCTAGACCTTAAAAAAAAGGTCACCGCACTTTCAAAACTGCTCAGTGAAACTCAGAATCAGCTGTCACTAAAAACACAGGGTAAGAAACGATTGGAGATCAGCAGACCCACAACAAATCTGCCCCTGAAAACTTCCACAGAATTTTTTTTTTTTTAGTGCATCCCCTGTCCTTTCAATGTTAAATATTTTTGCTATTAGGGTTCCCACTGTTCTGGAAAACCTGCAAATATAAATGTAAAGTTTTTTTTCCCCCAGGCCTGATGAAGTCATTTGATTTTTCTTTTTTTACGTCTTAAAAGGTCATGGAAAATGTATTTTTTTTAGTAAAATTAGTATTTTTGTAGTATCTCTTTTTCTTTTTCTCTCAGTTCTTTTAATATTTCTTCAGCTAGAAATTGCTTTTTGTGAGACCAAAAAATTTTCATGGATAAGTCATGGAAATTCATTAACCAGAAAGTGTGGGAAACCTGTATAATGAGACAGATGCTTTTTCAGTAGGATTATAACCACATAACACTTGCTTGTTCACACTTCACCTTACCAGGATTTCTAATCACTTGATCTAACATCAAGCCCCATACTCCCCCACAGAGCTGGAAACCCAGAGCAGACTGTCAGATGAACTGGAGGATTTGAAGAAGGTAAAACAGCCGCTGTAAAAGGTTTCTGTTATTTTAACAGACAATATGAGGACCAGACTCGGAGTATTTTTATTTATTTTTTTATCTTCAGAAACTGTAAACATCTATTTTTTTTTAAATTGTGGCTTGTTCTTCTGCTTTTAGACTCTGGAGAGCCACAGGCAAAGGGAATGGGATCTAAGTGAAATGTGTAGGAAAAAGGATGAGATTGTTGCCAAACTCCAGACAGCTCTTGACCAACATGTAGAAAACACAGCTCAGGATGTGAGTGTGAACATCTAGAGATTGTTTTCAAATGTCCAGAATAATTGGATTTACATTACCGTTCAAACATTTAGCGTCTGTAGGATTTTTTTTGATGTTTTTGAAAGAAGTCTCTTATGCTCACAAAGGCTGTATTTATTGATCAACAATCCAGTAAAAACTAATATTGTAAAATATTACTACAATTTAAAATCGTTTTTGTCTTTTAAAATAATCGTTTCAGCACAGTTGTGCTGCTTAATTATTTTTGTGGAAACCGTGATACATTCTTTGATGAATGGAAGGTTCAAAAGAACAGTATTTGAAATAGAAATCTTTTGTTACATTATAAATGCATAACAGTCAATAAAGGTATTGACTGTTGTATTGTATGTATTAAAAAAAATAAATACTGACCCAAACTTTTGAACAATACTGGTTATGGAAAATAATATTTTGTCCAAAAATGTCATTTATTAACTCATCTTTTTTAATTAAATTTTTTATTTTATCTATTTGGAGCTTGCCCATTGTCACTATGAGCTCTTGTGTAGAAAAGATCTGTGTTCAAAATAATCAATTATTTTTCCACAAAACAAATAACATGACAGAATTGTCATTTTGGGCGAACAGTTCCTTTACAGTTTTGACACAATGCTTTTATTTACCATGTTTCTTTTTTCTTTTGTTGTGGATTTCCAGAGAACTCAAATTGACTCCATCAAAAAGCAGATCATCCAGCTTAAACACAATTGTACCTGCTCAGAGCAGCGGCCTGCCAGCCAGAGTGAAACCAGAAAGCGGTGTCAGGAATGGGAGGGGCTTGATGGACAACCCCCACTCAAGAAAGGTACAGACTCCGCCCCAGAAGCTGAAAAGTGCCTTCCCACTTTTGTCACAACCAGAGGGGCTGGCCGAGAGAATCGGGTTAAAGGCCGACGATACCTTCATTCTCGAAAAAGGCTCTTGAGCATAAAGAAATGATCATAATAAATATGTTTTATAAAATGTTAACTCCATGCATAAGCCCTGTATATCAAATAATTCTGTGAAGTGTGCTGTTTTTATTTGCTCAACTGAATAAAGTCTATTTATTTTACACATGGCGAACACTGCACAAAATTAAAAACACTATAAGATGCTTGACTTTTATATCAAAAAGAAAGGGAGTAACAGAAATGTTATTATAGTATTAAAGCATCCCAGACACACATGAGGTGCTTCCTGAGTATGAACAGGAGGATTTCAGGCTGAGAAATTCCACTTTTAAATAATCTTCAGAATGAAATCAAATTGGAAATTAATTTTGTCCAATGTGCAAGACTAGTGCATTTTAGATCAAATTCCTGACTGGCTTTGTTGCCAGGCCAGTAGTAATAAATTTGAAATGCCTGATTGTACCAAACTATTTTAAATGTTGAAGAAGTTTTTAAATTAAAACAATTTATACTAAGCAAACACAAATAAATATTGTATTATTGCATGTCACAGACACATCAATATAAAAATATTTTTATATATCTGTTTCTAAAGTTCTCCATTCTTTATAGGTCCCCTGGAAGACTCAAAAGTACAAGACGATGTTTCAAATAATGGATGTCCACACTCCGCCCTTCTTGAGGTAAAAGGTCAGCTGGAGTGTTGCCTTGCTGAATCCAAACAAAAAGACAAGCAGATCACAGATCTGGAACAGGAAT